AATGATAGCACAATAGTAGAGATATTAATCTTAACCGGTTGGCAACCGATTGAATGAAATAATTCAGTTCGGTTAACCGATTAAGGAAATTTTTCTCAGTTCAAATCACTAGCTGTAAATGATTATATTTTGCCGATTATATGTTCTTGGAAGATTTTTCTCTTGAGTTGAGATTATTGTAACTTAGTGATATTAAAATATTTGACTCTAAATACATATGAGCTAGTGATTTTAAATATATACATCGAATTATTTCTAATTAGTGACAATTTTTCACTTAAAAATATTTTAGATAAATAGTATCAATGAGCCGACCTGTCCGTATCTTTTATGGTTGCCTAATATAATAAAGTGTCATGTATAAATAAAATAATACAACCTTTAGTATCTTCATATACTCTAGGGTTGTTACCTCTTTCACCTAAAGCCTTATAAATCCAGCCTCACTCCAAACGTTTCGTCTCTTGAATCCTAGTAAGAGGTGGATTTGAGTGTGACAACGTCTTCCTTTACTCAGTGACTCTAATTTAGACTTAAATGACGGTCAAATTTGTAAAATGGCCAATGTATAATACTGGCTGCTCTGATAAAGTGTTATGCAGCGGTATCTGTGTCGATACCAAAGAATGATAATAACAACTTGGAAATTGCAGTGTAGTTGTATGTATTTTTTTATTTTTTTTATCCCTCTTAAGATGGTATTTCTTACTAATATTTCTAATAATTATATTTTATAGTGACTTAAGCACTGTTCCTAGTGAATTTCACGAATATTATGATTAGTTGGTTAAAATTCATTATGTCAAAAACTTTTAAATTAGTGGTTTATATTAATTTTTGATTTGTAGACATAAATCCCAGAAAAATAGGTCATCTCGATCCTAAAGATACTTGTTGAATCATTCCACCTAAAGATCATAATATTAATAATAAAACTATGGAAAGTCGGTGTATTTTTATTTTATTTTATTTCTTTATGATTAAATATAAAATGTTCACGTTTAAAATATTTTATAAGATGGCAACTTTAAAGTTAATCAGATGAATTTTGAACAAAGACTAAATGACCGATATTAAGAAATCCTTTAGATTCGCAAATAATTCAAAATTTCTTGAGAAACTTAAACATCTCAAAAATCCGAAAGCAAACCAGAACAAACTCTTTCTATATTTCCTGAATTTGAATATAAAAAAAAAAATGTTGTGGTTGTACAGGCTAGTTTTAACTAATAAAATCCCAGCAAAAGTATTTTGTTAGAAGACGAGTTATGCATCGTACGAACCTAACCTTAACTACGACGCGTCGCCTCATACATAAAAAACGTTTCATACCACACCAAACAACACGAAATCACACGAAACCGACGCAATAACACGGTGCACCAACAACGACACAATAATAATTCCAAGATGACGAAATCACACAGCGGCAAAATTGACGACAGAATTCTCACTAGTAACGGCACGTACGACACTGAAAGATAAAGCAACATGAGATCTCGAAAACAACAGAAGGAGCGAACGACCGAAAGTAGTGGCCAATAATACTTAAATCCACGGCAAAACCGCAATCACTGAAATCCAAGACGAAATCACAACCACCAACGACGACCACCGACACTGAAAGCCCCAGCGAAATCACTACCATAAACGATGAACAAAAGCCCCGGTGAAATCACAACCACTAACGACGACCAAAAGTCTCGACGAAACACAACCGCCAAAGACAAAACTTCCATCAAGACACGACTTCCACAACGACTCCTACGACGGTTCTACGACGACTCCAGTAACGACGCCATTAACCGTTAAATAAAAAGAAACAAAGTGTTATTATTAGACAAAAGTTCTCAACTTTTGTTCATGGAACGTTACATTGACGAGATTAAAAAAACAAAATGTGATGATATTCATGAAATGCTACGTTGACGAGGATGAAATAAAAAAAAAAAAAAGTAATGGGTTATGTTCTATTTGCGATATGAACCGTTGCAACCAGGGATAGCTATTTTCGGCTAGTTGTTTTGTAGCCGTTGGCTGTATCTCGTGATCCAGAGACCCAAATGGGATGATTTTAGCGCCATTCGATTCTTCTCAATGAGACAAAACGAATGGGGCCAAAATCATCCAATTTGGATCTCTGGATCATGAGATACAGCCAACGGCTACAAAACGGTTAGCCGAAAATAGCTGACCGTTGCCATTCCTAGTTGCAACAAATTGTATAATGTTATAATGTTTATAAATATAATACTGTATTTCATTGTATTTTCTCTGTTTTTCTGTTTCTTATCGTTTTACTTGTCATACAGTAAAGAATTCCGAGTATCAGAAAACTATAGAAAAAAAAAATACTTTTTTAAATTATTAATATAATATTTAATTGGACTTTATTTCAAAACGCATAACAAATTTGACCATTTTTAGATCGAACCCAATTAAACTGATTATATCAACTGCATTTTAGATAATACTTCAAAATTTTTAGTATTCTGTCGCAAAAAATTATGGATCTTAAATTTATCACCATTGCTGTAAATAGTGACTTGAATCGGTTGGGCTATAATCGGGTTAATTGACCCGAACCGAATAAATTTCGGTTAACCGGTTGAGGAAATTCTTAATCGGTTGACCCGATACTACCGGTTGAGAATTGGGTAATCGGTTGGCAGGTTAATATAGTATAGTAGTAAAGGTTCCGAAAAGCTCTGAAAAGAAAATGATAGCACAATAGTAGAGATATTAATCTTAACCGGTTGGCAACCGATTGAAT